GAGACCCTGTCTCTACTAAAAATAGAAAAACTGAGACAAGAGGATCACGTGAGCCCAAGAGTTGGAGGTTGCTCTGAGCTATGACACCACAGCACTCTACCCAGGGCAACAGCTTAAGACAGTTGTCTCAAAACAAACAAACAAAGAAGATGGACAAACATACTGGGGGACGTTCATATGGGGCATGGTACTGAGTGGTGAGAAGGAGTGAGCTACTCACACACCTGACAGGAAGGAATCTCAGAAGCACTGCCTGAAAAAAGCTGGATCCAGAATACACATTGTCTGATCCCAATTCTATGAATCATGAGAAGCAGCCAAATTAATTTATGGGGCTAAAAATCAGTGGCTGTGTCTGCGTGGTAAGCAGTGTATCTGTAGGTGTGGATTTTTTGTGTGAATTTTGGGTGGGGAGCCACATTCCTCCAGTGCCGCCACACTGCGTCCTCTCGACACCACCCTGAGCCTGCCCCTGCAGCAGGGTGCAGGCTGCACCACCTTTTGGTGCAAAGTGCACATAGCATTTTAACTGACCCTCACAGTAAACCCATGAGGAATGTGAGGGCAGGCATTTGATCTCCACCATATATTGTAGGTGATGCTGCCTTGGGAAGGCATGGCTTTTGAACCACCAACAGCCATCTCCATATCCTTCCCTAATCATCTTTGGGCCAAAGAGTGTACTTAGGCAGCGGTGATATTTGCCTCCATATTCTCTACATGCACCAGAGTATGAGCATATCACACTCCACTAACGTTTTTGAGTATGTTCTTAAAAATTAGGTCATTCAGGCCACGCATCTATGTGATCTTTAAAAACTTTTATTTCAATTAGAACTTATAAGAATCTTTCACCATTCCAAAATTGTGCTCACTCCTCCCTAAAAGATAAGCTTCCATGACAAACTGCAAACCACAATAGAATATATCTTTAAGAACTGTTTTTATCAAAAAGATAAAAAATTTAAAATGCAGGCAAGGACATGCGGAAAGGCAATGTGAGCACTGCAGACACTATAGAGAATAGTATGAAGTTTCTTTAAAAACTAAAGATAGGACCACCACATGACCCAGCAATCCCACGGCTGGGTGTGTGTCCAAAAGAAAGGAAATCAGTGTGCGGAAGACACATCTGCACTCACTCCCATGCTTCCTGCAGCCCAGTTCACAGCAGCAAGGCATGGAACCAGCCTGAGTGGTGAGTGTGGAAAGAAAACGTGATGCTTGTGCACAGTGGGATGTTATTCAAACATAAAATAAAACAAAATAGTCCGATCATCTACAGCAACATGAATGGAATTGGAGGTCATTATGTTAAGTGAAATAATCCAGGCAAATATTCTATGTTCTCATTTGTGAGAATATAAAAAAAGTAGATTTCCTGGAGGTAGAGAGTAATGGCAGTTAACCAGTGACTGGGAAGGACAGGGTGGAGACAGGGAGGAAGAAAAGCTGGTTACTGTTAGTAACAAAATACAATTACATAGAAGGAGTAAGTCCTAGTGTACAGTAGAAAAATTAGGGTTAATAATAATTACTGTCAATTTCCAATAGCTAAAAGAGAAGAATTGGAATGGTCTCAACACAAAGATAAATGTTTGCATTTCCCAGTTACCCGATTTGACTAGCACACACTGCATATGTGTATCAAAATATCACATGTACCCCCCAATACCCCCCAAATATATAACTATATTATAACTATAACTATCTTATATATATAACTATAACTATCTTATACCCCCCAAATATATAACTATATTATAACTATAACTATATTATAACTATAACTATATTATAACTATAACTATCCACTATAACATATTTAACAAAAAGAATTACAAAATGCATTACTCATACAATTATGGCAAATTAATTGATATCATCTGCTGTTACAGTTTATTAGGAAGTCAACTAAAGAATATACAGTACATGCATCTTTTCTTTTTCTTTATTCTCTGTTCCACTAAAGGCAAATGGAACCCAATGGCTGGCGTTGAGGGAGAGGAAAAAATGGGACAGAGGTTCTTAGAGGATCCTCTCCCCCTTCAGAAGTGGGAGGTGGACACTGACCTGGACATGACAAGGGTGGGTCAAGCTCCAGGGGCTTGACACCGACCCACTCACATTTCTCTCATCTTTGTCACTCACCGTCACTTGATCGAGGGGCCATAGGTCTGACATCCAGGGAGCCTTTCCTCCTGTCTTTATGTTTGCCTGTCTGATTATCTGTGGGAGTAATTAAATTATAAATCACATCTTCAAAGAAATTTTAACAACATATTAAAAAAGGCCACTAATCTAAATTTTAAAGCCCTCAACTTTAAGAATCAGAACACAACTTAAGATGCCACACAAATCAACAGAGAACACAGAGATGCATAACTCAGTCGTATGGAGTTTCACTTTCTCAAGATGTCCCACTGGGAACATTCATAAGCAAGACCTTTACAGTTCCCAGATTACATAATTACAGAGCCCATGACATAAACACCTGGCAGAAATAACCTCAGGAGAATTTCTATTATATTTCTATAATTATATATAAATATATAATTTCATGGGAAAATTTTGATCCCTGTCTACCCTTGCCCCAAGGCAAAAAAGCTTTTATTTATTTCCTCTAAACTATCCTAGGGAGAGCATTATTCTCTTTCCTAGGACAGGACAGAGACACTGGGCGTATTTCAAATGACAGTTCATCGCTCCCCTTTCCGACCCTCCATTTTCTGTGAAGGGCTCCCCTGTCCCTTGGCCTCCACTCCCCTGACCCATGCCATGCCCTGAAAGGCAGGCTCCTTCCCACACAGCCCTCAGTGATGTGCTGCTGGGGACTTCCCAGGCTGCCCTGAGCATCCCCACTCCCCTCTTCACAAAATAGGAAAGTGGGAGCTACTCTGCAGGTGGGCATGGTGGGGGATTTGGGCTTCGCTACCTGGAACCCCTTCTCTCCCTGCTCACAGACGGGACCTGAATGCAGGCCCTTAGTCCTCCCTCAGCACCAGCAAGAGGCCTCTCCACTCAGCACAGACTAGACCCCGTCCTCTGAGTAAGCTTGTCAAAGACCAACAACATCCCTGTTGGTAGCTCCAAAGGCCACAATTCAGCCCTTACTTGATGTGACTTGGCTGTGCTTCTATAGACACCTGATCCCTCTCCTTGGACACTCCTGTCCCTTTCCTCTTTCTCAGTTCCCCTGCTGTTTCCAAAAGTTACATCCTCCCAGTTAACACATCCTCCTTGGGAGATTTCATTCCTTACAACTGTCACTAATTCCCACACTGCCTAAGTCTTACCTCAGGCCTGTCTCCTGAGCTCACACCTTCATTGGCCACTTGGACCTCCATTTGACATTCCCCAGGCACTGACAAGGAACTCACTATCCAAAATGAACACCTTATCTTTTTCAAATCTGCTCTTTAAACCATTCCACTGAATAGCATCTGCCTTTTTGCTTAAACTAGAGACAAGTCATCTGTGACTTCTCCCACCTCCGTTCCCTCAACTGGTCAGCCAAATCCGCGGATTCTTCCTCCTAAATCCCTCTGTAGTCTGTGGCCTATCCCCTGCTCTGCCCATCTGAGTTCAGATACTCGCATCCTCTCTGGGTCATAACAACAGCCTCTATGTTGGTCCACAGCCTCCAACCTCGCCCCCTTCCACCCATTCTCCACAGGCAGCCAAGGGATACTTCTATGACAAAAATCTGACCAGATCACTTTTCCACTTACAACACATCCAGGGCTCCTCAGTGTCACATCAGACTCCTCTCCTCTGAGATCTGGACTCCCCATCTCCAACCACCATGAACTATTTATGTGTCAGTTTGCCTCCCAAACCCCAGGGGTGTCCCACCTGCAGCCTGCAGGCGGTGTGTGTGAGGCCTATTTTGCTGATATGTGGTGTCAGATACTGCAAAAGTTTGTAAGGACCTTTTTTTTTGCTCATCACCTTTTGTTAGTGTTTGTTATATAATGTGTGGCTCCAAAACAACTCTTCTTCCAATGTGACCCAGGGCTGAACACCCCTGCCAGTGCCCTGATCCAAACTGCTCGCCTGGGACTGTTTGACTCCCCTGCACTAGCATCTTCCCCTGGTGAAGTCTGCTCTTCTCTGAAGGTGCAGTTAAGACACAGTTCAAGCATCTCTGCCTTTGGTAAACCTTCCCCAAAAGCCTCCCACACCACTCCTACAGTGCTCTTTACTTTCTTATCTTCCTTCCCAACTGTGACTTGAGGGCAGGATACTCTCCTTTCTCTTTAGTGATGAGCACTGTGCACGTAACAGGTGCACAGTAAACATCTTTATCTCTGCTTCCCCAAACCCCTCCACATCCCTAGGTATAAACCAAGTGCTATTACGTATAAAGGGAAGTCCTCACATTCTGTGGATCCCCTGCTCAAAATCCTCCAGCAACTCAGGGATAAAGAGATTCCCACAATCAAGGACAGATACTAGTTGACGCACCAGCCCGCCTCTCGCCCTCACTGTATCACCCCATGTGTGATATGTGGCATGGCTGCTCTGTCCCATCTCGGAGCTGCTTCCATCTGCAATATGACTCTGCATCTTCCTTCACAGTGTGCCTCTTCTCAGATACAAGCAGTCCTCAGTGACCCTCCTTTCTCTGAGCCATGTGACAACTGACAGCTACTTGGCTGCCTGAAAGGACTGAGCTGTGAACTGACAGTCTATGCCTTCCTTCTTTCCCACTCAACATTCAGCAGGTGCCTGTCATGTCTCAGGGCCTATGCTAGGCACAGGGCTGTGAAGATGAATCAGTTATGGTCCTCGTCTTCACAGGGAGGTGGTCTAGCATGAAACAAAAGAGGCTAAACTGAGAGTGACAATGATCAGTCTGAAGCAGGAGGGCTTCAGAAAGTGGCAGATTCTGCAGCCTGGAGGAGGAGGGAGGGAACTGCTGGCGCAGAGGGGCAGCACGGCTGGAGAGGAGAGAGAAGCCAGAGGCAGCAGATGGATGGAGCCTCCACAGGTGTCATTTCTTCTTAAACACTTTCAAGCTACTTTATGTAACACAAGATCTTCCCACCCCAACAGTCCTGTTCAGCTCTCTACTCCCCCCCGAGTCTCTGCAGCACTTTACGTAGATGATTCTTCGGCAATTTTTTTTTTTTTTGAGACAGAGCCTCAAGCTGTCACCCTGGGTAGAGTGCCGTGACATCAAAGCTCACAGCAACCTCCAACTTCTGGGCTCAAGCGAGTCTCCTGCCTCAGCCTCCCAAGTAGCTGGGACCATAGGCGCCCGCCACAATGCCGGCTATTTTTTGGTTGCAGCCGTCATTGTTGTTTGGTGGGCCCGGGCTGGATTTGAACCTGCCACCTTAGGTGTACGTGGCTGGCGCCTTAGCCACTTGAGCCACAGGCGCTGAGCCGATTCTTCAGCAATTTTAACAGCATCTCTTCCCAGGGGGACACCAAGGCACTGTAAAGTAGCAGAGGCTCAGTGAGCGCTCAACACACACCAAACTCTGGCCAGGCTGGCCGCCTGGACAAGGCAGGGCTCAGCGTTGTCTGCAGCCACGTGTCTCTGCGTTTGGTTTCCTCTTCTGTTAAATGGGACCTTTAAACTCTTCCCTTATCAGTGGAGAAAAATCAGCTACATCTCCTTGACCTGCTGGGTGTGTCGAGGAGACCTTGGAGAAGCAGTGGGGGCAGCAGAGAGCTGACCAGTCAGCACCCACACATGCAGCTGCCTCCTTCCATTTCACTGACCCTGTGGCATGGAAGGATGAACTCAAGTTGAGGCCTCAGTGTCTCAGATGATTTGCCCAAAAGTCATCCTGCACGGACCATGGTAGACTGTCGGAGCACTTCCTTGGGTACATATGAGCAGCCCTGCTCTGCACCAGAGCCACCTCCAAAGTGCCGAGTCACAATCTCCCAGAAGCTCCCACATTCCTGGGCCTCTCTGCAGTAGCAGATGTGGTTACTACCCCACTCCAAAGGAGCTTGATTTCTCCAGAACCAGACGGAACCTCCAAGTCTTTCCAGTGGTTGGTGGGGCTGGGCCCTGCTCTGTACCAGCTGAACTGGAACTTGTCATGCTACTGCCAAGCCTGTTGAGTACCTCCTCACATCCTCTGCACCCCTGTCCCCTGCTTTATTCTCCACAGCCCTCAGCACCTTCTGATATGCTATGTATTTATTTCCATGCTGTCTACCACGCCACCTTGCTGGAACACAGGTTTCTTGTGAGCAGAGACATGTCATTCCTGGCGTGTGGAGTGCGAGCACTGAGTTTTGGCTGAAGCATGAGTTCCTCCTCTGGCTTCTCAGGGCTCCCCAGCCCATCCCTTGACTGTCTATTGTTGCTAGGACCCATTCTCACTGCTCATCTCACCTCACTTCCCCTCTCCCAGAGAGCTGGTCCAAGGCTAACCTCCAAATGTCACCAGACACCTCTACTGGAATGTTCCAGGCACCAGAGATATAATAAGCTCAAATCTAAATTTGCTGTCCTCTCCCTGTATGAACCTGCTCTTTCTTACTATCTTCTCGGCACTCGTTATTTTAATTAGTGTTACCTAGTGGCCTAGCTAGACATCTTGGTGTCAGCCCTCAAGTCTGTGTTTGTTATACACAGTAAGCTGGCTCCCACGCCTTCCTGACTACAGCCAAGCAGCCCCAAGTCTAGCCTCTCAGCCCTCAGTCTCTACTCTCCACATCATCACCATCCTAGACACCTTGCTAAGACCTGACCCCTTTCCCTTACCTATGTATAAGATTCTTGTGGCTTTGTTCTGCTTGCAAGATGCATCCAACTGGCCTGCCTCCTGGCCCTGCCCGCCCCATGCCTCTCTGCATGCTGTTTCTCATACCTGGACCTCTGGCTGACCTGATTTCTCTTCTAGATATCATTATCATCACTACCACCTGGAAGCATCCCCAAGCTTTCCCATATAGCACTGTGCACTGTGGAGTACTCAAATTACCTTCACCTGCCCTCAGACCCTGACATCCACATTCACTTCTGTGAGCCCACAGCCAGGCTCAGGATCTGGCCAAAAGCAAGTAAAAGTTTGAGCACTGGATAGCGGTTATTATAACCATCTGGTATCTTCAATGAGACAGTTCAGGTGAAAATAACACAGGGCCAGGGGAAAAGGAGCGTGGGCTGGGACTTTATTACTTCTCTTGTGCCCAGACTCTGAACCTTCTTTCCCAAGTCAGAGGAGTTCCACGGCCTCCCTTCTAGGCTGGGGACTCTCCTATTCCATACCCCAGTTAGAGAAGGAGCAGCAGGTGACCCAGGCCCCACAAGACCAATAAGTAGTTTCTCCCAAAAATCTACACTGGATCAGTGAGGCAAGGGAGTGGGACATGGAGAGGGGGGCATGTCCATAGCTGGGCCTCTGCAGGGCCAGTGGAACCCAACGTCAAGTTGTGGAAGCAGGGGCCCCACCCACACTGCTGAATGGCCCAGGGCAGTGGGGCAGCTGCTCAGCTTTCCGCTTCTCCCATCCCCCTTTCCAAAACTAGTTTTGTTTTTTTTAAGAGACAGAGTCTTACTTTATTGCCCTTGGTAGAGTGCTGTGGAGTCACAGCTCACAGCAACCTCCAACTCCTGGGCTTAGGCGATTCTCCTGCCTCAGCCTCCCAAGTAGCTGGGACTACAGGGGCCCACCACAATGCCCGGCTACCAAAACTAGTTATAAACTGAAGAAGTGATTTCTGCTATGTGTAACCAAAGACTTTGGCTGGTCCATGGCCTAAGCAGTCCTGCCTGGCCTCCCAAGGCAGGACAGCTGGCTGAGACCTTTGGACATAGCTGCTAAGAGTGGGGAAGACTAGGCCAGCAACTGGCTCATGGGTAAGAAATGGGTAAGACTGCTGATCCTGTAAAATGTCTAAGTGTCTGGCACAGATACAGTTTGGGAGATCCCTCCCTTGCCCAACATTTACGATGACTATGTCACTGACTCCCCTCCCAGTCCCCGCTCTGCCATGTCCTGGCTGCCCAACTCTGGGCTGTCACTGAGCTGTTTCGAGTCTTAAGTTTCTTCCTCTGTAATATAAAGGAAGGTAAACAATAGCCATGAGTGACCTTGATAGGGCTAGTCTTAAAAATATTTTTAAACAAAAACCAGTAATGATACCCTGTGAACCTGTAGAGCAGGCTGCTGCACCTGCCTCCTCAATCCCCTTCAATTTGCTTCCGCCCTCACCATTCTCCTGATACGAAAACTTCTACAATCTACAAGTCACAAATGAGCTCCTGGACGCAGAAGCCAAAGTTCCTACCTATTTCCAGCTCTTGGCTTCAGTGACACTCCCCACACTCCACTCAACATGTTGCCCTGCACAGCCTGTCAGAATGCCCACAAGTGCTCAGGTCCTTCAACTCCAGACCAAGCTGGGGAGTCAGAGAGAGAAATGTTGCCACAAGCTACAAAAATATGTTCCTGCCACTGTGCCAGGAGACGAGTCAGAATGAGAATCTGTTTTTATATTTTTCCTCTAAGAACTTGAACCCTAGGCTCGGCGCCTGTGGCTCAAGCGGCTAAGGCGCCAGCCATGTACACACAAGGTGGCGGGTTCGAATCCCCAGCCCGGGCCGCCAAACAACAATGATGGCTGCAACGAAAAAAATGGCCGGGCGTTGTGGCGGGTGCCTCTGGTCCCAGCTACTTGGGAGGCTGAGGCAGGAGACTCGCTTGAGCCCTGGAGTTGGAGGTTGCTGTGAGCTGAGATGCCATGGTACTCTACCTAGGGGGACAGCTTGAGGCTCCTGTCTCAAAAAAAAAAAAAAAAAGAACTCGAACCCTAAGAATAAATATGGGGTACCATACCTGTATTAGTGTCAGGCTGAACACATTCAGGTATTTTCTCAGCCTAAAATAAATTTTAAAAGCCATTAGTTCCAACTGCTTGGCAATCTTGCTGGGGTGAGCCAGGGCCCAGGGCTCTCCCTACTTACCTTACTGCTGCCATCGCACACTCTGATAATGGACACGTAGTGTCTAATTTTTCTGCAAGTAGACAACAACGTATTATTTCCTCTCCTGACTTCAATTTGATATGCAGTCATCAATTTTGCATTATGAAAAGGGCACCTCCCTTTCACAACGTATACAATGCTTTGAGGAGAGCTTTTCTAACTTTTGGTGACCAAAGCAACCAATAAATAAAAATTTACAAATATCCTCTGGCATCTCTGGAGAAAAGTGACTTCAGTAAAAACAACAAAACTCTTCCTAAGTCATCACAACAGACAAGATGATAAAATATATGTTATTTTTTAAAAGAAGTACTATGTGTTAACTAACCAAGAACCTTTAGCTCCTTAATACATTTTTATTTTCACAACCTTTTACATTGATGCCCTTCTTCAAGGTTCCCACAAACATGTGCTTGTGGCCACTCATGGAGACAGCCATTGGCCACACTGGGAGTCAAGACTCACCCAGAGCCAGGTTAGATACAGCCTGCAGCAGAGCACCTGGGCTCAGCTCAGAAGCTGCTGCCTCTTTTCCTGGATGGATTGTTGCTTCAGTTCATCCCTTTGATAATCAAATATACGTGTACTAATATACATATTACAAAAAATTGGAAAGGACATAAAAGGGCAAATAATCAGAACAGAGAGCCTAAACAGGTGTGGCTTCCAGAGGTGATTGCCACCTGCAGCGAAGCCTGGTCACAGAGCAGGTGAACTGTGCAGTCAGGGCTGAGGCTGCTGCTGGCTCTGCCACACGCCTGCAGCCAGATGCTGGGCCAAAAACCTGACCAAAGCCTCAGTTTCCTCATCTGTAAAATGAAGCTGGCCACAGCACCACCCTCAGAGGCTGCAGTTAGGACAAAATAAAGTGGCAGCCTACCAGGCCTTGGAAGCCTGATTGGGGCCGGGCTGGAGAGGCAGCAGCAGTTACTGTGCATGCCCTGCACACGCCCTCCTGTGATTTTCCCTTCTTTTCTTTCCTTGATTGAGATCATTCATCAACCTATGACTTCAAATAGCTCGTTTTTGTGTTTAGTATTACATCATAAGCATTCTCCTTATAACTCAATTTTTTATGATCCTCATTTCTAAAGGCTGCAAATTTTCCTGTTGGATGTTTTACAATTAAAATTCATAATTTTCTACTTTCTGTATTATTTAATAGAGGTCTCCTTAGACAAACTGTAATTCTTAGTTTCCCAATATGCTGATTTCTAGTCTATAAGATCTGATGATCAGGTTTGTGAACTCACCTTAGAAAAAATGTTATATTCCTCATGGCCGAATGTTACTATGGTCACCTTCAAAGAACTCCCCTTGGGAAGCTATGCACCAATGCCAGAGCCTTTTCACTTTGCAAAGAAATTTTGGAAGTCTTTTTCTGGAATGGCCATCAAAGCTATCGTTGTATTACCTTTAATAGATATCCTGAATGTCATAAAAATGTTTTTCTTTCAGTATTTCCTTATCTTCAGTAAAGAAAAAAGTAATTGGGGCTAAATCAGATGAGTAGGGAGGGTGTTCCAATACAGTTACTTGTTTATAGGCTAAAAACTCCCTCAACAGAGGGAGCAATGTGAGCTGATGCATTGTCATGATACAAGAGCCACATCTTTCTCATGCCAAGAATTTCAAGTACGATTTTCCTGTTTCTCTATTCATGTTTACTTGTTCTGCTATGCTTCTCACAGTCAGCCAATGCTTTTGGCACATAATTCAACAAATTTTTGCAATGTTTTCATCAGTTCTGCTTGTTACTGGTCACCTTGACCTCTCTTCAGCAGTGACACTTTCTCTTCCCTCAGGAAAATGTTTAGTCCATTCGTATACTTCATGGCATTATCACCATAAATTTGGACTACATGTCCCTGATTTCATTTCCACTCTTGCCAAGTTTAACAAAAAATTTAATGTTTGTTCATTGCTCTAATCAAGCCCCAACATTCTCATGACTACACACAAAAATACGAATGCTACGCCATAAGACGCTACCACATGTTGACAACGAACACAGCTGTGAGACACTGATATACTAAGGTTATGAAACCTTCTTGAGTTGTTTGTACAGTGCTGCCAACAAAAGTGCATGGTGGCAAGTTCACAAACTTAATTGTCCGACCTCACATAGTTATATCTGTTTATGTAAGAATTTCCATAACTGTTAATGTTAAAAATTTTTTTTATCTAATTTATAGGCCTTTGCAGAAATAACATGTAGCCTACCGAATTAGAGAGTAATCTTTTTAATATAGGGAGTCTATGAGTCAGTTTCCCTCCCCAAACTCACTCAAGCAATTCTCTGCCTTAGCTTCCCAAGTAGCTATGACTACAGGCATACCACCGGACCTCTCTTTATCAGTGACACTTTCTCTCACCTCAGGCAATTTTTCTGCCCAACTAATTTCTTTTCAGTTTTTGTGGAGACAGGGTCTCACTATGCTGCCCAGACTGGTCTTGAGCAACTCTCCCACCTTGGTTGCCCAAAGTGCTGGGATTATGGGCATGTGACATTGTGCCTGGCCTCCAGTCAGCATTCTGATTTAAATATAAATACTTCAGCCTCTTGTGTATCCATGCAGCTTAAACAAGACTGTCCCAAGTCTGATAGCTCTGGGCTGCAGCCACAGAAACACCACCCTGGAAGCTGCTATGTAATGACAGCTGGCCTTATAACAAAGCCTTACTTTTAAACTTCTGCAAATAGTTCTTAACTTACTTAACTATTCCAAGCAAATTATGCAATGACCCCAAACTGGCATGGTGACTGACAAACTTGCTCTTCCCACTCACCCTCCCTGTCCGATGACAGGTACTATCTTCACATTTTGTTGGACATTGTCTCCATTTTTCTTTTTGGTGTAGTAAACCCCTTGCCACTCCTGTAAATGGATGCAAGCATCATTATATTTTGTGCTCAAAACATAAACTCAAGAGCATTTTCCACTTCAGTACTGTACCACTGCTAAAGCAATGAGGATTAAAAATGATCCTAACCTCAAACCGTGTTTCAGGTAATTTGACAATTGTTTCTCAGCCTCCAAATTCCATCTCCTTCTGTGTGAGACAAAAGTCATGTTGCTACAGTCTCAGTGGTGCATGTTTTCAGCAGCCACCTGCTGGAAAAGGGGTACTGGGCTCATGAATAAAGAGCGCCCCTCAACACATAGGTCCATCTCAAAACTCCCACCTGCTGCAGTGGAGGATGGAGCTTGACCTTTGCCTCTGTGCCTGGGAGGGAAGAACACCAGGACTGGAGCTGGAAGGGGCCATTTTGTGACCACTACCAGCTTTTTAATCTGTACTAAAAAGGGCCTTGAGGCCCCTCCAGGATGTGTGAGGGTTTTGGTCCCTGTGCAAGTTGAGGGGCTGGGGATAAGGAGGAAACTGCCAGAACCAAGTTCAGGTAAAACAAACAGGCAAGATCTCAAAATCCAGGACTGCAGATAGTCAGCTGTGCTCTCCTACTCAGACAGAGCCTGGGACCCTTTCAGACAGGCAGTGCTGTCTGGAGAGCACGCTGAGCAGGGCAAGGCCGCAGCAAAAGAGGTCACAGAGGCTCATGTCTTCTTGGGGTAGTGGGGAGACATGGGAAGGGAACTGGGTTTTGTCCCCATCCCCAAAGGTTCTGAATTCCTGAAAGAAGTCATCAAAGTCCTCTTATGCTACAGAAATCCTTAAAACCCACTATAGGACATTGAGTTCCTCAGGTGCTCCGTAACCTTTGTGATATTCAGAGTCCCTTGGGATCTGGAGGGAGCTGCTGTGGCAGCCTTGATAGCTCAGCTGAGGTCTCCTTATCCAGACCTTTACTAAGGACAATTCTGAAATCTTCCGTACCTGGGACACAGCAACCGGCATGCAAATGCCCATGGTGAGAGCCCAGATTCCTCTGGGAAAGTGGGTCAGAAGGAAACAAGGGCAAACTGATAGAAGAAAAGGGTGATCACTGATGGTTCCTGACATGGTACTGAGAAAAATGGCAACAGGAGAGGGCTGCATCAGAGACAGCAAGAGAGCCCACTCAGAGCCCACTCAGACCAGAGCAGAAAGGGGCAGGCCTTCCTTAGTCAGCGGTGAGGGAGGCTCAGCCCAGGGAGAGAGGCCTGTGGCCAAAACCAGCGAGCACTGAGCAGGGTCCCCAAGAAGGGAGCAGGCTGCACCCCACACCACAACTCACACAGTGTGCTCCTTAAAAAGCTTCAGCAGACAAGCCTAGGGGCTACTTCTGAAGCTTGCTATTAAGAGAAAAATGGGAAACTGATTGTGATGTTTGCAAAACTCTGTGAATACACGAAAACCCACCAAACGATATACTTTAAACAGGCGAATTGTACAGTATGGGAATTACATCTCAATAGAGCTGTTACACAAAAAACAGAAATACAGGAGACCAATTTAACTAATCAGTGCTTTAAAAACTGCCTGTTCTTCTCTAGTCCTTTATGAGTAGACCTGGACAGCTGACTAATCCCAGGCCAAGGTACGATAGGCCACCTGCAGGAGTACGACTTGGGTAACAGAGCTGGCCACTAATGGGAACAAGAAATATTTTCTTATTATAAATATAAGACTCAGCTTCTGAAAGCAGTGATAGTACCACCAGAGACTGCTGTCTGGCAGACGAAGCTGGGTAATGTATGTGAGGTCCCACACGGCACTGACACGCAGCAGACATGCAGTGAACTGCCTGGCCCAGTCACCCAGGGTTTTGAACAGGTACCTCTCCCAGCTGAGCTCCCCTCAGCTGGGCTTCTCTGGCTACTGCTATAGTCTCTCTAGCACAGGTGTCCTCAAACTATGGCCTGAGGGCCACATGCGGCCTGCCAAGGACATTTATCTGGCCCGCAGGGTGTTTTTGCCACCACTTCCTGTCCTGCTTAGCAGCCGACTAATCCAGGGCCCATAGTCTGGCCCTCCAATGGTCTGAGGGACAGTGAACTGGCCCCCTGTTTAAAAAGTTTGAGGACTCCTGCTCTAGCTGCTCACTGTCTTTGAGAATGAAGAACCTGGCTCCCAGCTACCCTATGCCTAGGGGCATGCTTATGGTAAACAAGGAACACCTGGGGCTTCTGTTTATTGAGTGGAAAAAGTAGGCTGAGCATCCTGTAGCATCAACTATAGCATCCTGGCTTCCAGAATGAGAAGTCTGAGCTCCACAGGGAGGCAGCAACACGACCAAATGAAGACTGAGGAAGACTAATCACAAGAATGTATCATGGACCAAGTGGAGGGGAGTCCTGGGTCAGATGGACCTAACTGGACTCAGCCACTGTAATTCTGGGATGCAGGAAGAAGGCCCTGAGCAAGGTAGGCTTGGGCACAGACACTCATCTAACAGGGCTTAGTGGTAGATTGACAGAGAACACCAAAGGGCAGGCAGGAATCAAAACCATCCCAGGAAACTAGGTCCAAGCACTGGTGAGGATGGCCCATGAACAGAGACTAGGGGCTGGAGGACAGACCAGGGTGTGTACAGGAGATGAGAGAAAATCACTGCAGGGCAGTTTACTTTCAAGACATCAGGACCTTGAACTGGACCTTGGAAAAGAAGCTGAGACTAAAAGCAGAGAGATGTGAGACTTCTACCTAGTGCAGGAGGGAAGACCTCAGCAACAGAGGAGCTTTCTGAGGGACAGCAGCAGGGGGCAAAGGCCAGATCCTGGTGAGGCTGGGAGGAATCAGAAGAAAGTTGTGCAGAGGAAGGGCAGCCAGCAGCAGCACGGGGCAAGGGCAGGTGGCGTCTGAGCAGGGGAGGCCTGCGGCTTTGTGCCACCATCACAGAGGGCATCTGAGCAGTTGCTGCACAGGTAGCATCTATTACACACCAGGGGAGGATGGCACATTACTGAGGGACAAAACAATCAAGATTTCTAAAAGAGAGAAGACAACGTAAGGCTTGGGTATCTATGAAGATGGGAGACTGTGGGTTCTAGAACCCTGGCAGAGAAGTCTCGGGGAGAAAGAAAAAAGCAAAGACTCAAGGAGGATATATAGAGGGAACGAGGATGGGTGTGAGCTGGGCACCTTTTACTCTTACTGCAAAGAGGAACCAGTGGCTGAAAAGGATGAGGGGGTGGGTGTCTCTGCTTGGATGTTATCAGAGTTTCTCTTCTGCCCTCAGGAATATCTGCCTGAGATACCCAGTGCCTAGATCCAAGCCCACCAGTGTCCCACCCCTGGCCACTTCCTAGGACTCCAACTGCCACTGTAGTCCTTAGCAGACAGACATCTGCACTCTCCTTGCTGATCACAGGACCACCTTCCATGAGGCTCACAGAATCCTCAGGCCATCCCACTGGGGAGACTGAATTAGAAAAGGCTACATATTCTTTCATCTCAAAGACCAGCCAGAGCATCCTGCAGCTCTGCCAACAAACCAAGTTACTGACAAAGGACAAAGGGTCACTTTCTTATTCTTCCCCAAAACAAATAACCAGGCTCCTTTTAGAAAGCAGCATCAGTAATATGATAATCTTTCCTATTCTTTACTCACAGTAAATACAGATTTTAGATAAAAGGTCTCCCATTCCAGTTTGAGGCTGGCTCCTGGTGCCAGAAGAGGCAGGAAGCTGTCCCTGCAGACCTGGATGGCTCCTGGCTGAGAGCTAATCCAGACTCCTCCCTGCTCCTGCCTGAATCCTCAGTGACAGGGACACAGAACACCTCAATGTAAGGGTTACCGGGTTAGGGGGCATGACAGTCATCCTGGTTTGCTTCCAGTTGAACTTCATAACAAAACCACTGGCCAAGCCCATGGTAGAAAGAACCTCAAATGCCAGGGCTGGGATGGCCATGGTGAGGTCTTTCTGAGGACACCCTTCTCAGCCACAGATGGGGCCCTCGACCTCACCTGTGCAGTGGACCTATACCCCTCTTCATCCACCTTCATCGTCTTCTCTCTCTACCCAGAGGACCTCCCACTTATTCTATTAAGAAAAACATCATCCTTGACAGAAAAGTTGAAGGCAAGATAGGCCTTGAGGAGTGCCTACTTTTGTTATCACTGTGGTTGCAGACAGCAATTCTTCCCTCATTCTCACTGCAAGGCACTCTCGTGTGCTCAGAGTCTTGGGCCCACTCCCTGTGTTTTCAGGGGCCTGAACCCAGCATGGTACGAGCTCTGCACAGCACCCTGCCCTATGTAGACTGCTTATTTTGTACTATGGGACAGGGCCTAGCCAAATGACAACAAGGAGGGGGCATCATTTCCACCAGTGACTCCACAGAGTGGGTGGGAGAGAGGGTCACCAACTTTTCGAGTATTTTTATTTTTCTTACAGCAACCTTGAACTCTTGGGCTTAAGCAATTCTCTTGCCTTAGCCTCATGAGTAGCTGGGACTACAGGTGACTGCCACAACACTCGGCTATTTTTTGGCTGCATTTGTCATTGTTGTTTAGCAGGCCCGGGCAGGGTTCAAACCCACCAGTTCCAGTGTATGTGGCTGGCACCCTAGCCATTGAGCTACAGGCATTGAGGCCAACTTTTCAAATATTTCAAACAATCAGATTAATAGTTTCTACCCACTTTCCACAAATGATAAAAAGCCTAGCAAAAGCACAGCAGGAAGGATTAAGAACGACAGTGAAAAGCAGCAGACTTTTCCTCCTCATCCTGTTGTAAAGCCTGTGACAGTGATGTGCTCACCTTCTCTCTGCTCCTTCAGCTTGCCTCACCGTGTAATGCTGTGGTTCTCAACCTTCCTAATGCCGCAACCCTTTGAGACAGTTCCCGTGGGTCATGACCCACAGGTTGAGAACTGCTGGTGTAATGATTCCTTTCATTTGTCTGTTTCCAAGTCCTGCATAGAAGCTCTCTAAGGCAGAGCAAGAATTTTTGTTTTGCTCTTTTTTTTTTTTTAAACCAGAGTCTAGCACGGTATCTCATATTTAAGAAGTGCTCAACTAATGAATGAGGCTCAGAGAGCTGCCGAACTCTGATGTGCTCTGAGAATGTACTGCCTCCTTGGCAATGCTTTCCTTAGAACCATTTGCCATCATCTACTACTTAGAAAATCAAGTATTAAAAAGATCAACTTACTACAAGATAAAAACAATGATTGTGAGTGTCAGTTTAAGTCTCTCTGCTTCTTGGCTGATCACATTATATGCTTTCTTTGCTTTAGTTTCCACATCTGCAAAATGGGGATAATGCTACCTGAGGTGCTGGGAACTGAGATTCCTGCAGTGCTGTGCACATCAAGTCTTCCTACTTGGGGTGCTGGGAAGCAGTGGGACTGAGATTACCGCAGTGCTGTGCACAGTAAGTCTTCCTAC